AATGAATGTTTTATTTTGTTGAGATTGGAAAAGATTAACGATGAAAGATAACAAAAATTGGGAAATCACATGTTTCAATTACTTGTACAATAAAAAATAACGATTTTATAAATGAATTAAATTATAATTTTTTAATAAATAAATAATAATTTTATATAATAACATCCACAAAATAATTTTAAATTGTGTGTGAACCTATTAATATCTAAACCGGTTATCTAGATTCTTAAATATTTGAAATATTATATTTTAGAAACAAAAAATAAAGATTGTGAAATTATGTTCTAAAAATAGAAACCATAAAAAAATACTTTGAATTTTGATGCAATTTTTTTGGTCATCTAGTGAAAATGATTGTCTATATATTTATTTATAAAATATTAAATAAAAATAAAATGTCACATTATTTTAAACATGAATTTGGATCATTAATAGTCGAAAAGTTAGGAATGAATTTGGATAATTAATAGTTGAAAAGTTAGGAATTATTATTGTTGATAGTTATTTCGAAACTGATGTTGAATAGGGTGAGCAAACCAAAGTAATGTATGGTGTACAATTATGTGGTACTCTCATTGATGGATCGAAATCAGATGTTTTGCATGTATCATGTTTTTATGACTAAAAACAATTAATAAATTGAGATTGTTCATATACTGATATTATTGTCATTTATTTATTTACGATTTTAGTCATTGTGATTTCTAGGAATAATTTTGACTTGTCCTTACTTTGAGGCTTCAAGTTATATAATTTGTATTTAATAAAATCAAATTTCTTAACACTTAGATTGTTTTGTTTGTATGTTTATTGCATTGTAACATCCCAAAGTTTCAAATACTACAATATATCAAAATGAGTATCCCAAGATCAAACACATACATTAGAGCGGAAATAAAATTTCTAATCTTACAATTTATATCATCATCTTAAATTACAATCTTGAGGAACATAACTTTGTTTTATATAACTATGTCTTGATCTGCACATATATTTCTTTAGTGTTAATCCGTATATATATATCTGTTCATCCCATTTTTCTTTCCAATCTAATAGATAACCTGGGTGAAAAAGTTTTAAAAAAGTTTTGGTTAAGCCTCAGGCATAGTGAATCCATGGTTTTCATGCATGAACAACAACTTTTACAATAAACAATTTTCACTAAGCTTTATAAATTAAGCATGCCTTGATGAGAATTATACTTTTCGCAAAATAAAGGTATTACAGTGGGTGACTATATCACAAAGCAACGGCGTCATGGAAGATGTCTACCTCACACAACATTACTTGGCGAATTCACACAGCATGTCCGCACTTACGGCTTAGACAAGTTCACAAAGCATGCTCTACTTTACAAAATCATATGGTAGTACATCCCCATTGACACACAAATACTCAAAACACATATTATAAAAATATCTAATTTTTCACGTATATATAGCATATCAAAAATCTCGAGAAACTTCAATCAAGTTTGTGAATAATTATAGATAAGGCATGCAACCATTTTAAAAATAAATCACGTGTAACTCACCATACATGTCGTAGTCCAAATCGATCTTTGAAGTGGCTAGCATCTCTCCGATTGGTGCCAAACTAGCTACGATGTAGAGCATTGTCAACTCTCATTACAGCGTTCACCATCGCCTTTAACTCACAATAGTTCTCCTTCTTGACCCAAACTTCACATAAAGCTACAAACTTCCATTTTATACTAAGCTATTGGCGGTTTCATGAAATTTGAAACGATCATCCATGATTAATGGTTGGAGGTTTCAAGACCATTGGGTTTCATGTCATTGAATTACATTCAATCTTAGGGTCTAAACCCTTCACTTTGATTGCATTTACATTACAAGTCCTTGAAATTTAACGACTACCAATTTCTTTCCTCTTTTTTTTGGTTATTACAAACTTTCCCCCTTAACAAAATTTCGTCCTTGAAATTTTGGCTGTGCAAATAAATGAGGGCATCTCAATCCCGTCCCCTTATCAAGTTCCCAAGTAGCCTCCGAACCATTATGACTTCTTCATTGAACATTCACAAGAGAAATCCTTTTGCTTCTTAGTTTTTTTTTATTATCTTTTCTTAACATCCTTAAGAGTTACGACTTCTTTTTTGCCTACTAAACACTTTCTTAAATTAGATATATTGTGCAATAAATTTCACCATACCAACTGTTTTATTGTCTGAAGTTTTAAACATCCATTCATCCTTAAGAGTAACTCATATTTGCATCCCAATAATCTTCTATCCATCGCTAACTTGAGCAATATTTTCTAATGAACGATGGACTACCTTCGATCCATCCATCTGTCTCTTTTCTCTTCGATGTTAGTTCGACAAACCGGCTGGAATTTATCACATAACTCTTCGAGTTGCTTTACTTGAGTACTCCTTTGATAGTCATTTATTATAAGTGAATGCATTCAAGTCTAACCGGTTATTCCAAATGTCACTAAAGATACCCCACATAGATACCACCATGTTATTATTATCTACAAAATATGGCAACATGCAAGCATTCGTCATATTCCTTGTAAATTCTTTCATAATTCAACTATGCATCTAACATCACACACATTTTCATATTCATGCATTTATACATGCATGTACTTTTCTCTTGCCCTTGAGATGTCTTTTGCCATCAGAGTATAGGCTATACGATCATTCTCTAGATAATGCCTCCGTATTTCGAGCTCCAAAATCCACTGTTACTAATTTCAAATAAAAAGTTGTATATTTGTATTCATACATTTTCAATTAGCATGACATGAATACTATATCATTTTCCACTGATATACCTCATAGTGCCAACACTGTAACATCATTATATACAAAATAATCCTCAAGTTTACGTAATTATAACCTTACATTACATACTTCATAATACTTGATGTACATTTAGTCTTAATGACTACATAAACATCATTCATCTTGCTCCAATTTTAGCATTTTCTGATCATGCTCACATTAACAATCATAGATATCAGGATGATGATGTTCACCAGGTAACTTCTTAACTTCCTTATTACTTTCTCTAACCTTTTATCAATCAACTATCTTTACTTATTTCATCATCTTCAACTTATATTGCAACTTACTTATCTTTGACTAATGCAAAATGTCTCATGCATGTTTACACTATTCTAGCTTTGATGTCTTTCTAGCTATAATTATGGGAACAATTCCAACGCTTCCTTTTTATGGCTTAGAATTCATACGCTTGAATAGACCTTATTATTTAACCATAAAATATTTCAAACTTACTAAATATGATACATGATTACAATTAACACTTTTTTACCACCTACTTGCTTTTATATCTTGCTCAAAGCAACACATGCTTACTAACAATAGTTACTTTCATCAAATCAAATAAGTTAAATCATCCCCTTTACCATTCTTAAAAGGTATATGGAGGATAATGAAACCGTCGTTTCCAACAAGACTAATCAACCATAGTCTCATACATTCTAAAAGTATCTGACACCCGATATGGTGTCTTTTCTTTTAAGAAACTACTCCCGTGAGACACCTTAGATCTTCTCATATGATTTACATATTATTTCCACATTCCGACTCTTGATTGTAAAATCCTTCAAGTAGTCATGCATCCAATCAAGATCATCAGTTCTTACCATGAATCTGTTGCCATCATTGATTACACGAAAAACCTCGTTGCTAATCTCATATCTGACTATTGGATCTTCCTGTCAATTGATATAAGAAATTTTTAATCATTTTACATTAAAAATGACTATTAGACTTAATGTTTTTATGAATTTTATGACTAAAAATAATTAATAAATTGATATTATTGTCATTTATTTATTTACCATTTTAGTCATTGTGACTTCTCGGAATAATTTTGACTTGTAGTTACTTTGAGTGTTGAAGTTATATAATTTGTAATAAAAAAAAAGTAAATTTCTTAACACTTTGATTGTTTTGTTTGTATGTTTAATTATTGCATGTTATATAGTTTTTTTTTTTTCTCTTGTTTGAAATCCTCATTTGATTTGTTATATTCGATTAGCCTCTTCTTCCTATGATCGTATAGTATATCACAAGGATAGAACAACAATTACTTAAGTCTCCATATTAATGTACGTTTTTGAACTTTGTATGGCCATTTTATGGTACTAGTTGATTTGATTTCATCTGTTTTATAATGTGTCGTTGTGTACAATCAAGTTTGTGGCTTAAATTCAACACACATGATATTTCACGCAAAACCCACAACACGTACAAATCCAATTGTATGATACAAAAGATTGTAAATATGGTTTTTGTATTTAAGAGTTAGATTATGCCCTTATAAAAAGGATGATTCCAAAATTCAATTATCAAATTCGATATAATACTAATATAAATAGTTAATTAAACGAAAAATGTGACTGGTTTTACTTTACCTATTATTTCGGTTTAAAAAGGACTTTCTTTCTTTCTCAAACGACGTAATAATGGTTCAAAATTATCTATTTAATGTAAGAAACTTTCAAAATTTTCATTTATTAATTATTTTGATCGGCAATCGTACCGTTGAATTTGTGATATTTAATGATGTATATATCAAGTTTATTGTCAATTTAATTATTTTGTAAACTTTTTTTTAAAAGAGTATACATATCATCAAATGTATGAATAAATTAATGGTCAAAATGGTTACAAGATAAGAAATTTTGAAACATTTGTTAATCAAAAATCGATTGCAATAAACAAGAACTGAATCAAACTTTATTACATTTTACTAATTCACATCCTATGACTTTATATGATTCGTTAAATTTGCCATCATGTATTTTCTTACCAAAAAATAAATCTTGGCATTAATAGCATTAAAGACGATGTCCAAAAAGAATATTAAAAGAGACCGATGAAAAACCATTAGACCAAACCATGAAATTGAACTTCGATATAGTATTAGTAGCATAAAAAAATGCGTTCCTCGTTATAAATATGTTTGCTCGTGATAATTGTGGTTTCCATGTCCATTCTAAAAGTATGGACATGAATACTCATCAGGACTAATCAGATGCCAATGCCTAAAAGCCCCTACAAATGCCATCATCTCTCTACAACCTCGAGCAAATGGATTTAGTCTCAAGAATGGGGGAAAGAACAACCAAAAGCTCGTAATTATCACAAACCCCAATGTTAATGACCGAGATATAAGAGGCGGGGGCTCAAAGCGTCGACTCATGGTTTTCTTGAGAACGATCTCGGTTCCAACCCAAACCCCATGAATTACAAAGAACCAAGTGACCTCCCAAGTTGGGGTGAACCGACCAAGGTAGTAAAAGATCATCTCGTGCATGATCCCAGACACTAGAAACGTTGTGAAAACAGCAGGCACTGATACCCATCTTGCAGGAACCAGATGGCTAAAGATCGCACGAGTTGGATGGTAGACTGTAGGGCGTAGGATACTAGAAACCATGAGATTCCATCTTTTCCCCCAAAAGTCTTGGACCGACGTAGCGTGGTGAGGCTCGTCAAATTGTGGTTCCAGCTCAGCCCCAAGTAGGGTTCGAGCCAAAGAAGCTGCCACGGCTAGCAGTAACTCGAGTGAGAAGAAGATGTAATAGGCATAAATGGTTGTGGTTAGTAAAGGGTGGAAATTGTCTTTGTAACTATGGGCCATGATGGTGATCACAAGTAGAAAAAACCTAAGAGCATATTCTTTGGGGGACTTTTTGGTGATTTGGTGAGATGGGTGTTGTTGATTTCTTATGATCTTGATGGGTAAACAAGCGGTAGATATGAAGTGAGATAAAGGCAGGGGTGGGTAAGAAGATAAAGGACCTTCACCAAAAGCATAAAGTATGAGTTTAAAGCTTCCAAGCCACGACATGAAGAAGAAGGTTAGACCACAGAGGAACATGGTGTTGAGATTCAAAGGGAGATATAAGAAGAGAAGTATAACTGGAAACAAAACCAAGAATCGAGTTGTACCTCGTGCAATAAAGATACCAACACTGTGACAGTAGAGGAGGGATGCCAAAGCCAGGCTCCAATCTAAAACGAAGTTGTATGATTCACCCTCCATTTCACTTTGTTTATTTTTTATTTTTCTTGCTGCAAAAAAGAAGTTCGGATGAACCAAATGATGAAGCTATATATATATATATATGCTAAGATATGGTATCGTAGGGTTTAACATACACCTTACATTTTTTGAGAACAATATTAACATGTGTATATAAAATTACAGAATGGTCCTTCGAGTTTAAGGAAAACTTAGAATTTCATCACTCGACTTCAGAAATTTTACTCGACACTTTCCGATTTGTGTTTTGTAACGGATTCCTTTCCTTGCCTTAGCGGGCGTATGGTCTTTCTTTAATTAAGTCCCCCACATGCTAATCATGTGAAGGAATTTTTAATCATTTTACATTTTCTTTTACAACATTATTTTTACTGCTTAAATGCGTAAAATCATATATATATATATATATATATATATATATATAAACCCTAAACCACATGCCCCAACCCCCACCCGTAACACCAACCTCTATTTTTCTTAACTATAAACAAAGGTCGACAAGAAGAAAATAAAGAACAAATACAATTGAAAGAAAATCCACTTGCAAAAAAAGAGAAACCACAATGATAATAGTAAATCACGGCATCTTCCCCCTCCCCCCTACAACTCCATGTGGTTTGTTTGATTGATTTGGGTCCCGTTCAATAGCGTCATTTGGATCATAAACAAAGGTGAGCAAGAATCTGTGTTGCAAGCTAATTTTCTCTCGTGTGTAGTGTTCACGGTTTCCATCTTCCATTTCTATTTCTTCTTTATTTGGCTTTTGTTTCCATGTTCCATGAAAATAGTTTTTCCGTGTTCATATGGGAGCCGACAGGTGTTTGTGTATGGTGCAGAAGAAGAGACGGGCGACGAGGGTTGGTAATGAGGTTGTTAGGGTTGTGAGTGCAAGAAAAGAAACAGAAGGCGTGATACGGAGATAAAGAGAGATCCAAAAAAGAACCTGAAATGGAGCACATAATAATTAAAATAAAACAAAATTTTAGTTATGAAAAGATCGTTTCTAATAAATATGACAAAAGAAATGGTTTCTTTTGTTAAATTTATAACTATATTGTTCAATCTTGATACGTTAATGTCGAAAATATTACTATTTATAGGTAATTATGAAAGGTTTTTCTATATTCGGGGTTGAAGTGCAATATTTCAATTGTTGGTGGTTGAATTCAGAGAGTTTTATACTTGTGTATTGCACTAGACCTTTTCAGAAAGGACAAGGGTACCAATCCATCGAACCATCTAGAGGCGTTTCCTGAAAGTTTGTGAATATTAACGGTGTTAGTTTTTTTTAAATTATTCACAAAATTAGGACCACATTTTCCAAGTACTTTCTCTCTAAGCTTTCTCTACTAGCTTTTAAAGCCGCAGTTGAAGACTTTTAAGGTTATGCTCTTTCTCTTCATCCATATGTTACTTCTTAGACGATATTTGTCGAGTTGCTATATCTTTAAGATAAATTAAACAACATGTAAAGTGGTCTTATATGTTACCAGCCGAATTTCATCGTTTTTTGATTAATTTCGAAGGATGTTTTAAGATTTTTGGTTGATTTTAATGAACAATTTTGGTTTTTTTTTCTTTTTTGTTGATTTCGAGTGATTTTTCGGGTTTTTGGGGTTGATGTTTGTTGGTCCTAAAGGGTCTACAAGAATACTAAACAGTTTGTAGAAGGGGGGGGGG